CACTCGATCCGTCTGCCTTCGTCGTTTCTCTGACCCGTCTTCACCCAAACAGAGATGGTGGCGTATCAATGCCACAGAACCGGTTCGAACCAGCGCCTGTAAACAGCTTGGGTTACAGCTCAAGCGGCAAAGCATGCGGAAGCACCTGCTGCTGGGGTCCTGGTGCTGGGTGATGTAGCAGAGCAAGCCAGACATGACCTCGGCGCTCACCAGAGCGCCACTGGGGTCGCTGGCGTGGGAAAAACGCGACAGCAGCAGGAGGATGGGAGACTCTTGTGTCCAGGGTTCAGGGTGATAGGGGTGCTGATAGGTGCTGGTTCGGGGGACAGTAGGAGGGCTATCAATTGCAAACTTGGTGAGTGAAGTTGCTGAATGCATCCTTCTTCTTTTCTGTGAAGATGAGAACTTTGATGGGGAAATAGGTGTTTGAGACGTATTAGTGGGAGAGCAGACGGAGGGGGAAGCAGTTGGGTTTGGAGGGGTGATCCCAGTAGATGGGGAAGGATCGGTGATGCTCGAGGAGGAGGACAAGGAGGGAAGTGGAGACAGAGGTGGAGCTGTTTTATTAGAGCTGGATGAAGAAGGGGCTTTGGGTGATTGGCTGGAGTCTGGGTTTGGGGAAGAGGTTTGAGGTGAAGAGGAAGGGGGGTTAAGAGTCCCCCATTCAGCATCAGCAGTGGAGGAATCCAGCAGTTCCCCTTCAGATGATATCAGTCCCTCAGAAAGCAACCAGGATCTGCAGAGAGAGAGACGACACTACATCTAAACAACATGGAATGGAGATATTCACCTAAGATGAGACTGTACCATCATTTCTCCCCATACCTGAGACTTAGGAAGCTGGAGGAACCTTGCTCCCTTCCAGCTTCTTCCCTCCTGCATACCTCAGCAGGAGGATAGTCAAATGACTCCAAAAAAGAAGAGGACAGGAGCTCATTGTGAGGCATGTTAGAGGAGCTGCTCACATCCACCTTCTCCAGCAAATCTTCCTCTCCCCTGGTGAGCTTCACTAGTAGTGCAACAAGAACAGGGACCAAGCCCAGCTCTGCCAGCTGTTCCATGGCAGATTCATCAAAAACAAAGTCTACACAGGCCAGTATGATGAACTTGGAGAGTGGATGATTCTGGTGAGAGGACAAAAATTTCATCAGGACCTCCAAACCACCAGACTCCTTCACCTTGGCACGGTTCACCGCTTCTTTGCAGCACCAGCACAGAGCCTTGAGGAAGACTCCTGACTTCAGCGGGTCCTTTTTAATCTCCTCTGTGAACTTCTGAATGACCCCTAGAGATCCTACAAAGGGCCGCAGGCAGCCTTGAGAGCACATGTTAGCCAGCGTTTTCAGCGCAAGCTCTTCAAAATGTTCACCCCCTGATGCCATGACCCCGAGCTGAGTCAAAACACCAGAACGGGAGACTTCCCTGGCACATTCGATTCCACAGCCTTTGGTGAGCTCATGGAGGGTCCTAAGGGCTGCATGCCTCAGACCACTGGGATATTCAGGGGCAATAAGAGGTGCAAGGGCAGATAATGTCCCTTGGGTGAGCAGAGAGAGGCGGTTTGAGGGTGAGTCTGAGAGGTAGAGGAGGGCCCGAGCAGCGGACTGAGCGCATTCAAGTTTGGGACAGGAGTTGGAGGATGGAGCAGCTGTGGGAGATGATGGGGCCGACGCAGACACGGACACACAGAGGAGGAGGAGAGGAATACCACCTGGGCACAAAAAAACATAACAAAAACAATGGATGGTTTCACAAAATAAGAGATTGATCAAATTCAACACAAAAAAAATGAATATCAAAGAGGACATAAAAGATATCAGTGACTGAAAAAAATAATTTCATTGGATTCCATTAAACAGATCAGCTAAGCAGAAGTGCATAAATGGTTACAAAAACTTAACTGGGACAGCATAAAATGTCAATATGATATAATCTAAACAAGTTTATTTGAAGTCTGGCTGTTTATTATTTAGGTTTGTTGAAGGCACATCTACAACTCTAGATTTTTTTTTCTTTCAGGATTGTCATGCATTTAGCTTCACCCACTCTGCCCAGCGCAGCGTATCTGATCCTGCTGAAGAAAAGAAAAATTTGCACCTGATGATGCCTTTCCCATCTTGTTTTAACTGCAGACTGTGTGTCAAACCCTAGGTGTAGTCTTATATTTTCACCAAGTGTTTTGCATGAACATCAAAAAGACACATTGTTCCATGTGCCTCCAATATTCCTTACATGCTTATTAATAAGTACAGAAAGCACTTCCTGTAGCTTTTTTCAACAGTGGCTTTCTTCTATAAAATATATTTAATTAGTAGCTGGATTCTGTCACCAGATATGCCAACATCTGCTGTAGCCTCTCCTGAGTTCCCACAGGCCTCTTGGCAGCCTCTAAATGCATCATTGTGACACAGGAGAGGGCAATTTTCCATGCCACACATAAACTCAGCATTGCACATCTAAGAGGTACAGTAAACAAAGCAAATATGTCCAATATGGCTCCACAATACAAATTGTGATGCAGATTACATTTGCAGTAATGTGCTACAGGAATACATTTTTATCTTGGAAGGTTAAGAGAAATTTCTTTCAAGGATGAAGACTACAATTTGTTGACAGCGTTTTTTGTCCTCCTGATGTAGCTCAGGGCTAGGTTTTTACTGTGACCAACTGTATGTGATCTCTCTCTTTCTCTTTTTGATATGAAAACCAGCTTGGAGCTCATCTGCTCAACTGTTTCTGTCCTTGACAGAGTCACCTTTGGAAATAGTTTACCATTATCTTCTTTTACTCGCTTCTATTTTGCTTTTGTTTGCTTTTGTCTCCTTGAACGCCAAATCAACTTGGCAGAGGGTTGCTAACTTAGTCTGGTTCTGCTCGAGGTTTCTTCTTGTTAAAAGGGAGTTTTGTCTTTCCACTGGGGCTGCATGCATACTGCTTGTGAGGGATAACTGAAAAGTCAGCAACACAAAGCAAAGCAAATATCTACTGTCGTCACAAGATCATCCAGTGGGAATGAATTCTGCCAAGTTAGCACTCAATGTAATCAGGCAACTTTCTTATATAGGAAACTTCTAACAATTCTGTATGTATGATTTGCTTAAAGTGTCTTTGTAAATTGCATTGAGATGATATGCATTGTGAATTGGTGCTATATAAATAAACTGGATTTAATGTAGTTTTACACCCTTGCTTCCAATAGTACACCATCTAACATTTTGGGCACCACCATCCAACAAGCTGCATATGACTTTGGGGAAGTGAACACTTAAAATAAAATAATCAAATCAATCATAAAATAATCAAATAATCAAATTTTGATTGTATTCCAACTAGTCAATTATAACAAAATTTAAATTCTAACAATTAATTTTAAGTGTCAACATAACATCGATCAATCAGGAAACCTAACCATTTATGGTTCAACTTAGAATTCACAATCAGCCATTGATTTGTGTAATTTTATCAAAACCCATTTGGGTATAAATACTTTTTCAGTGCATTTTTAAAGTTAAATACGCCCTTTTATTATTACAGTCTTTAAGGCTACAGAGAGGCAGACACATATATAATTACCAGCAGAGTGGATGAGTGCAGAGCTTTCTTGATCCATGGCCAAGTTCCCTAAAGCTCGGGCAGCCCGGTTCTGGACAGTCTCTAAAGCCACGTTTCTCTTCATTATGTCCACTATAAAGGTCAACAATAAGAAGATTATAATCATTAAAAAACAATGACAGTGTTGAATTTTGCAGAATGTATGGTGGTAAAAGGTGCAAACAAAAACAAATATTAAATAGAATTTACTGACCAACAATGTTGATCCCTTCTAGTTTCCGGACCTAAAGTTGAAAACATATATTTAGAAAGTGCTTCAAAACCAAAAAAGGGAATTCAGACCAAATGATTGGACAGCATTGTCAGTATGATCTCACTTCTAAGCGTGTCTCCTGCTCAGTGCAGCAGTTGGCCAGGATGCTCAGAGCCAGGTCCAGGATTTTCCTGGGGCATTCAGGGTGTTTAAGGAGTTTTAGCAGGAGTTTGAGTCCACCTTTTCCTCTGAATCTAGCGATGCCAGCCTTGTCGCCCTTGATATGCTGTGTCCTGATGGCAACCAGGGCTCTCCACTGATACAGTTTTGACCTCTTGTCGGTGTCTTTGGATGAACCTGTCTGGTGCTCTGCCCCTACTGGTAGTCCAGGTTTGCAGAGGTGGTCCAAGCACCAGGTCAGTGAGGACTCTGGGGAAGGTGGTTGGCCTTCTTTTGGGCTCACTCTCTGCAGCTTTCCTTCACCCTTCACTGGTGATGAGGCCATGATTGATCAAACTAGCAGGCCACGCACCCAATTATTGCATCTTTACCATTCTATGCTCAGGTAGATATCACCGCAAACCATCACTGGACAGCGCCTGCAATGTGATAAACAAAACATAGCATTTTTCTTTACTTTTTACTGTTAGCGTGTTTCCAAGCAATTATCAACAATCCTCAACAAACTTCTCGTTTAAACGAAAAGTTTTGACGTGTTGTGAACAAACTACAAGTACCAAAAAGACAAGGGAAACGTGTATCACCTGACGCCGCAATCCCTGACGGGAAATTGAGTCCCTAACCGCCGCCACGATCCGTCAAAAAGGCCTGCTGATTGAAGAGGCCTCGATTGCGTTATTCGACGTAAGATGCGTGTAACTGGCCTATTTTATTTTTTATTGTCAATAGATTTGTAAGAAGTAACTATTTTAGCAATGCTACATTGCCAGAGGCCGAATATATTTTGTGGAAAAAAAGTGCAATCGCCTGCATTAGCCGCTAACGCCATCTTTAGCCAAACTATAATACGGGGGCGACTTCCGGAGACAAGCAGGGGCCGAAGAGCTGGAGCTTGGGCAAAATTCTGGGACTTGTAGTTTCACCTCTAATTCAATTCTCCTGTTTTCAACATGCCCTGTCTTTTCAAAAACGACATTACCCATCGCGATACTAATCGTCAGCTCGACTGAAACAACCAAACCTGTTTAGGGATTGTAGTTTCGCTAAGGACTTCTTTAAGGTTTGAAATGGTAATAAAAGACTACAAGTACCAAATTTCAAATGAAAGCGATAGGCGTTCATTTTCTTGACGCACGAACATCCATCGATGTACAATGGATGTTGTTAAATTCCGCGATAGATGCCGTTGATGAATAAAAACAACAGTTTTAATAAAGGAAGTTATATAAAAATATGGAGGTAATTGAGGCAATAGTGATTCATGACGCTGATGCTGAAGGAAAGGAACCTGCACCGTCCAGCAGCGTGGATACTGATAAGACCAAAACAGGTTAGTAATGGAGAGTTTGAAGTTCATGTTTGGTCCAGTCATCGCTTGATGCGAGGAGAGACTGATGAGTGCGCACCAACATCCACTATTTCAAATATTACAGGATCAATATGCTCTGAATATGTTTAAAGGCTGCGATCCCAAAGAATGGTTTTATAATAGACTGTCCAAAACAAAGTAGAGATAAGACTTGAATGTAAATGTGCACGTTTATTTATATGAATGTATGTATATGTGTATATATACATACACACATATATGTATGTTTATGTGTATATATATATATATATATATATATATATATATATGTGTATATATGTATGTATATATATATATAAAATGTAATCTATATTAGTTTATAAAAAAAATACCTTTGGAATCCAAAAATGCCCAAAATTTATGTCAATGTAATAAAAATAAATTCATGAAAAACACTCTGAGAGTGAAAGAAACACATTTTTTTTTTTTTTTTTTTTGGTGCAAGATAACTTTAGAGGCATTAATGCTGATACTGGCACTTACATTTTTTTAGTTTATAAACCTAAATATGATTTTTAAATAGGCTTATTACATTTTTAACTGTTCAATTAGCCTTTTACCTTATTTTCTTGACTGTTCACTTTTTTTTCAACTTCATTTACAGTAGGTAATATATTATTCAAGGGCTAATCTAATTGGTCAAATGCCAAAGTAAAATGTACAGCCATGTAGCAATATCTTTGCTGAATGGCTGGATATAGATCTTGTGCTTCTAGACCTCCCTGAGGGACGGGGGGACAACTCCATTTGTAATGAGTATGCAAGGGATCAAAAACGGTAACTTGCCCTATGAAGGTTTAAATATAAATTCTCCTGTCTTTTTCTTCCTGTAGAATTCATCTGGACACTACAAGCTACATGGCATCTAGTCAATACCAGACTGGAAATGGATCAGGCTTTTGACCAGCCAGTGTGCAAGAAAAAGAAGCTTTGGGAAGTGGTTGCAGAGAAGGTGAATGCTAAACTGAAGCAGTCGGGGATCACAGACATCACCGTGAAGGCCTACGAATGTGATCTAAAATGGAGAAATATGCTGGCCACGTACAGGAAGAACACAGACAGGGCCAGGCGACTGGGGGTAGCTAGTGTCCACTGGGAGTTCTTTAAAGCAATGCATGGGGTGCTGGGTAAGAGCAGGGAGGAGATCCAGGCCCAGCGCCAGGCCAAGCTCAGTGGAACCAAAGTTGGAAAGGCCATAGCCAGCAAGAGGTTCACACCTATCCTTCCTACCCCTCCTGCGACACCTGCAGCCTGTATTAGCAGGCCCCCACAGGACATCCTGCAGCTCTACATGGAGCTTCAGGAGAGGAAGCTGAACATGTGGGCTCAGCAGAAAGCACTGGAGGAGAGGAAAATAGAGGCCATTAATAACCTGGCTCAGGCTATCTCCAGTCTGGCTCAAATGAACAGCCCACAAACACCAAAAGATGGACATTAAGTCTTTACACAACTTAAATAATAAATGGATGTTGTCATCTGAACCGTCACTTTATGGCATTATAGTTTGTAGGCATGCAGCAAACCAACAGAATCCATCTTGAGAATGTTATGTTTGATAGCTTTTTCTTATAAAAAACTGAATACAGCTGCCTTTGTGCTTTGTCTGGATACTTTCACTACCTGTTTAGTACGGGGGGGGTTCTCCTGCAGTTGCCTAAAAACAAAGTTACAAGCCATCTGCTTTTTGGTTTTTTATTGACTCATTTATTTTTCTACTTTAATGTCATTGCTAACTTTCTTAGCATCAATATATATATTAAGAAAAATCCTAAATATAAGGCAAAGTTACCAAAATCATTTGTGCTCCAAGGAATGAGTAAACATAATCTAAATGCATATCAACTAGATACTGCTAAAACTGTGACAAGTAAAGTTGCCAGTTGCAGTGGTCTTCAAAATCCACCAAATGAGCTTTGAGTTGAACTTGATGTTTTTTAAAGAGCCCACCACCTGAGTCTGAGTAGCAGGTATAGACTGTATGGGTTTCTGTGAGCAGCTTACAATAGGATCACTGGTGTGGTCTACATCTGGCAACAGGAGACTACAACATCTGTGGATCAGGGTTCAGACACAGTGCAAATATTTTAACAAGACGCAGACAGACGGATGTATGGATGGAATAAAATGGGCCGACAGATTGATGGTTGGTCTGAAGGTTACAGCTTATAAAAAATTTGAGAGAAAAAAAAAAAATCTTAAAATTAAAGTATTTTCCAGGTTTTACCAGACCAGCAAAATATTTAAATCAAATCTCTTTCCATACTGCCCTGGTTGGAACCCAGTTAGAACATGTGACATCTGGCTAATCTAAAGCTAAACAGTACTTCACCACCCAAAAGTACTCCCCATGACACCTTAATCCCTCATAAAGCGATCCCACACAGCGCAACAGCTGTGCTCCAGCTACATGCCATCACATGATTCGGTCTAACTTTGTTAAAAAAAAAAAAAAACGGCCTACAAATGCAGGTTTTCTTGACCCCTTGTTGTTTTTTATTCCTTGTCAATATGGGTCAGTAAGGAAAAGTAAACACTTTAAAGAGGTTTTTTATATTTAGGTTCCTGGATGTCTGAGAGCGTTCACCAGCCTACTGTAAGATATTGTCTTAAATACATTTATTTTTGTTTTTTCACACTTAGTGACATTATATTAAAAAAAAAAAAACTATAAAAATATGTTTGGCTTACTATTTATTATATTTAAAGGTGAAAGAAAATCAGAGTTGCGCAGTGGGGAGCACTTCTGCCTTGCAGAAAGAAGGTTCTGGGTTCAAAAACACTGCCAAGCGTCCTTCTGCATGGAGTTTGCATGTTCTCCCTGCGTATGAGTGGATTATTACCGGCTTCCTCCCACAGTCCGAAATCATGATTGTGTGCATGAATGGTTGTTTGTCTCTGTGTTTCCCTGCGATGGACTGGCGACCTGTCCAGGTTGTACCCCGCCTCCCACCCCTTGACAGCAGGAGATAGGCACCAGCACCCCTCGGACCCCAGCTGGGATAAGTGTGAAACATAATGGATGGAAGAAAACCAATACTGTACTTGATTTTTTTTTTTTCTCTTTTGTATTGATCCTCCTTTTATTGGAATGCTTCCAAACAATCCATTGTAGAAAGATGTATAAATGTTGATTTTCTGATAAGGCCAGGTAGGTTTGTAGGAGATTATTCATAATCAAAACTATGATAAAGACCGAGGAATCCAGCAGACAGATCAGGAAGAAAATTGAGAAGTTTTACACTGGGTTAGAAGATAAAACATCAAAACAGTAGTTCTGTGATTGCAATGTGACAAAAAGAGAAAGTTCAGGAGTTATTAAAGCACTAAATTCCCCATGGTATGAGTAAATTCTCATTAAAGACAAGTTTGTTCACGTTTCAAACATATTTGTTTTTCCTGAACCAGTTCCCCAAATTTCTCAAATTTCAAAATATGGATAGATGGATATAAATGAAGATTAACAAACACAAGGATGGTAGGACTTTAACAAGCAGGAAAGGAAGTAGTGAGGACAATATGGCAGGGAGGAGGGAACAAGCAAGAGAGGATGGACCACCACCCCCACCCCCCCAAAAAAGGAATTAACATTAAGATATGATAGAACAGAGGTCTTGAATTCCAGAATCCTGCAGCATTTAGATGTGTCTCTACTTCCTCACCTTAATCAAAAAGCTGAATGAACTCCTCAGTCGTCCAGATTCCTGATATTGACAGCTGTAATGAAGCAGATATCTAAAATTGCCTGGCTATTTCAAACCTGAAGGAAAATTCTGGAAAAATGTAATATATTTTTTTATATTCTTGTTTTCTGGCTCTACATTCATCCAAAACTAGAACATTTCTAAATTTTGCTAGACAACACAGGGTTCCTGCGTTGTCTAGAACCCCAGTGTTAATTTAGACTAGATGAGACAACTGACGCTCTAACAAAATAAATCTTTATTACCTCATGTTTTTATCAATGTAAATATCACGCGCCCCCAGAATGAGCATTCATCAGGAGCAATTCTGCAACTTCATTGCGTCTCTGTACTCCCTCCTCATCTTCCTCCCCATCCTCATTTTGTGCAGTTAGAAGATTCGCCGTCTCAGACTCTCCTTCAACCTCATGTCCCATCTGTAAGAACACATTGTGTAATACACATGCAGTCAGAACAACAGTCCCGGCTCGGTCGTAGTTTCCGATGTCCAGATAGGTGAGCCGTTTGAATCTGGCCTTCAGGCTGCTGACCGCCTGATCGAGAATCCGACAGTGTTCCTCCAAGGTTTGGTTAAAGAGTTCCTGTTTTGGTCCTTTTTCTCCAGTGTAAGGGGTTAGAATCTGTGCTGTTAGAGGGTATCCGGCTCTGGCTACAAGAAAGGAGCCCAGCGGCATCAGTTCATGGTTCTGTTTGAGTCGGTCACTCAGTGTCCTGCCTCGATCTACATCTGAGCTTTTGCTGACTCTGCAGTGCAGGAACTGGCCTCTGTGGCTGCACACAAGCTCCAAATTTAACCAGGAGTCGGATTGGCCCTCCTTCATTCTCTTTTCCGCCGGTCCAACCCTCTCCGGGTCATGTTTTTCTATGGGCAAACGTATAGGAATCCGTGTGTGTCCCAATACTCCCAGAACATGAGGGAGACCATGTCCTTCATCTTGATCTTTTATTTCAACCAGACTTGAAAATGGGAAAAGTGCCTCAGCAGCCTCTTCTCCTGGAAACAACAAACACACCCCACTAATGAATAAAATATTTAAAGCATACATAAAAAACTAAAATACAAAGACAAGCGCTAAAATACAAAGACAAGCGCTGAGGGATTATACCAAGTGGCCATCTGATTTGCTCCTCCTTGAGCGAGCTGATTCTCTCGCAGAACGAGAAGAAGATCCTGTGGATGTTTCCCTTCTCCAGCTGGAAGCGGCGGGACACGGAGCGGTAGCTGACCTGTTCGGAGAGCAGTGACAGAGACAGGAGCACCGTGTGAGATAAAGACAAGTGAGCCCGTCCAGCCAATCGATCCCTGGATTTGGAGCGTTGAAGCAACTCTGAGATGCACTGAGAAGACAATAAATGTTATGGTTAGTTATTTAGTGGACTAGATCGTCTCATAAAGAATATCCTCAATAACCTAGATGAGATTAGTATTTTATTAATGCTGTTAAACAATGGGCAACTATGTGCTAACTAATAGGGGCACGTCCTACATCGCTTGTCTTTAGGCCCCACCCACGTCATGTTACCAGCACACAAAACCCTTTGAGTTCAATTAAAAACCAGAAGTTTGAGAGTTGTAACCAGAGATTTCTGACAGGCGCAAATAAATCTTCGTAAGAAAAAGTTTTCCATTTGCCTAAAAAAAAGAAAGAAAATTAAACAAAACCTTTTTTTTTTTCAAAATGTAATGCATTTATAGCTATTCCATATGTTTTGAGCACAGTTTTCTTATTTTTTATATAGATTAGTTTTTGTTTCATTGAATAATATTGAGACTCATTTATCTTCATAGTTTCTTATTTATGTGCAGAATGGAATTTTAAATTAAAGCTAATTATATATATTTAGTTTTATATATATATATATATATATATATATATATATATATATATATATATATATATATATATATATATATATATCCCCATTTGTCATCCATCTGAGACCCACAAACACAGCTCCAATATACACCCATCTTCAAATAACCTCAATACGAACACAGATTAATCTAAGTAGTGAAAAAGCACCTCTACACAGCACACATTCTATATGATAACACTTGCATACCCACAGCATGATGCTACCACCTCCATGCTTTGGAACCTCAGGAAACAAAAATCTTATGATTTTCACTGAAGAGTCGTGGCTTGTCTGTGTGTTGGGTAGTAAGTTACAGCAATACTGTCGTATCTGAAAGCCTCCTGGAGGAACATGTGATGATCACCTGGACTGCTTCACTGTCCGCTGTCTCCTCCTGGTCCTCTGTCGTCCTTCCTTCCTCGGTGAGACCACTAAACGCAGCTGCTGTGGGTGAAACCTGAGGGGCAGGGCTTGCTTTACTCTGCAGTAACTGAATGTAGACAGCGGGAGAGGGCTGCGTTTCGATTTTCCCAACCAGCTCGGACTCCAGGATCTCCTCCATCGCTTGGTCTAGCCGAAAGTCCAGCTCCCCGGCGGACAGAGGCTGCCATTCTCTCTCCATCATGTCCAGGACGGCTTTGCCCGCGGATAACACATGCTGCCCGAAGTCCATCTGAACAGCCCAATGAAACACATCGAGCAGCGAAGGAGCAACTCAGCGACCCGTTATGGAGCGGGACAATGCTAGCCTGCTAGCCACTGGGCTATTGTTTGATGCCTTCAAGGACTGTCGGGAAATTCTAAAGAGCCTTTGTGGCGTTTAGTGTGCGGAAGAGGATTAGGGCCACTGACAAAAAAAAGATAACTAATTTCTAAAAAACTAATTTCTAAACTATTTGATGTTAAGAAATTATTAAACATAGGAACTAGAGTATTAAAACATTCATGAACTAAGAAACGGAAATTTAGCAATGTTGGTACTTAAATGATGAATGATAGATTTATGCAAACCTTCAGCACAGAGCAAACAAAACACCATTTTTCATAATAAACCAATACTGAGGTCAAAATTACATTAGAATAATAAAACAGCCATGTATTAAAATAAATAAAAAATCATACATTGAGGTAAAAATATGCTTTTAAAGAACTACCTTTCTGTTTCTTTACAATATTTATATTCCTCCTAATCTAATGACTAATTTTGTCTTCACTGCTTTTTATATTTCAACTATGGTAAAAGTGTTATTAGCAACGTGCTACATGACTTAGAGCCGACATGACAAAATATATACAAAAAAAGGTTGCCATCTCATAAGGTGTCACAGACCAGGGAGAAATTAAAGGTTTGAGGAACGGAAGTTTGTTTTTCCTCGAGATGGATCATAAACAATGAATTTATGAATTCCAGTTTTTTCTCGAAGCCTTGTTCCCTTCAAGATAAAAAGATTTAACCCTTTAGCTCTAACAGAAAAAATCCAAATGACTACCTTCTCCAGGCTAAACTTAATCTATATCAACTTGTCTGTCTCTTAATATGTAATGTTTTGATAAAAAGTTGTTGAAGGCACATAGTGAGCATCCTTCAGTTTTTCCCCCCTAATCTTCCATGAAAATCAAAATACCATAACACAGAAGTCAAAAACATTTTTCTTTTTAATTTTAGATCAGTTACAAGTGCAACTCTGCTTATTTCCACCTATTTAACAACCATGATTTTGCAAAAACATGCCAACACAAAGCGTTAACTGTTCCATTCCACTCCTCCAGGGTCAGATTATTCTTTCCTTTGAGGTAAAAAAAACAAAACATAACACTATCAGTTTAAATTTTCTTTGATCAAGAGTTACATGTTAATGTAAGGTTTGGATGAGCAAACATGCCTCTAAATTTAGGAGAAACTAACAGAAGCTGCAGCTAAAGGTAAACCTTGTGGAGTGATTTTATTCCCCTTATTTTATTCTCCTCCAAAATTTGTTGGACTACAACCCAATGTAATTAAAAAATGTTCAGATCCTCTCATCCATATATAAGTTTAACTTCAGCATATACTGCAGATAATATTAACTGGTCATAGAGTAATAAAAACCAGTGGATCTCTCTTTATTTTAGAGTATTGTTCAGAAGTTTTAAAATACAAACGGTAACTTAAAAATGCATACAATCCCATATATGTTTGCGACACATATCCAGGCAAAAGACAAAAACAAAACATCCTACTTAGTTTAATAAAGAAACACGCAAACACAAAAAGCTAAAAAAAAAAAAAAAAGCACACTGTCAATCAATCTTCTTAAGCCAGCAAAACAAAGACCAAAAGCAAGGCAACATTGACCTTACTCCAAATAAAGACTAGAATTTTATTAAATAAGAGGTACGTCTCTTGGCTTCAGCCATGGCTAAATGCACATATGGCTGACAGTGTAATGACAGGTCCGTCTGGTTTCTCTGCAGGGTATCTTGTGAAACAAATAATTTTCTAGCATGCCCTCATTAAGTCAAGACAAATAAACCATTTTAAAGCCCCCTCAAATTTAAGGGGGAGCCTCCAATTATTCGTGCCTTGATTCTGAATAGTTGTCAGCATAGGAAAATGTCACTGAGGCATCAATTCTCAAATTTTCACCCTGCCCTCTTCCCCTATGCCCTCCCTTCGAACCCTTTCAGCTGACTTCTTGTTTTATGGCTCAGTCCTTCACTGTACTGCCTGTTCGTTGGCTGTGCTTCCAGAATCCTGAGGCTTCATGACATCAGGAAGTTCTGGGGGAGTGGAGAAGGACTCAACCCTCAGTGGCTCAAATGAATCATCTGGGAAAGGAACAAAGAACAGAGAGCAAAGACACAAGGATTAGTGTCATCGGACGAGCCCATAGAGTCTGTGCTCGGAAATGAACAAATATTGTTCTAGTTTAGAGAAAGAGAACGACTCACCGCCGATACGAAAAGCTAATCCCACTGTGGCTGGAGCCTGAGGTCTGGCTGTTTGATTTGTGAAGCCACAATTCCCCAGAGTCTGACTGTCATTAAGCAGCACATCATCCTGAAAAGGGAAAAGAAAAAAAAAAAACTTTACATTCTCTAATGAACCAATCCAGAAAAAATACAACTATAAAAATTTGCAGAGGGGTAGATTTTCTAATAAATAAAAATGGTCAAAGATTAAAAAAAATTAAAACATCAATCATAGAAAGTTATTGGAAAATGTAAGCATAAATCAATGCCAGAGGTCCATCCTTCGATAATTTTAAAAGAGACAGTGTTTAAGCGAAGCTGTTGGGTTTCCTCACACTGAGGGTAAAAACATTAAAATATTTCCAATGTTCAGATACCGAGAAGCATCTGCAGGCTTTCTGGTTAAGGTTTATACCTTCTTTCAAGTTAATAATATCAAACTATTCTGGAGATATCTGCTTTTGTAATTGATGGGTTTTTGGGGGGTTGATTTTTCATTAATTTTTACATCATAGCAGAAAAAAAAAAAAATCTCTGACTATTCAGATCTATAACCGATAGACAGATAAATAATTTCATTTTCAGAATTGTATTTTAACTTTGTCTTATTGTTAAAAAATAGGGAGAGATAAAAAAGTAATGCATCATTATAAAGACCATGAATAGCAGTAAAATATATTTGTCTCTCTACCAAACATTTATTCATTCTTAGAAATGTTCAATAGAGACACTAAAAGTTTTATACTTCTGTATGAATAAATGTTTGATAGGAAAGTATAAAACCCTTTAGTATGCCAGTTAATCTTAAGTCACATTTATGGCTTACTACAACGTATGGATATTCTTAGGTTCAGGGGAAAGTAAATGCAAGATTAAATCACTGTTAAATCTGAAATTGTTTAAACACCTGCAGAACAAGATTAAAAGTGGTTGTCATTTAACCAAGAGGTCTATTTGTAAAAAGAAATGACACGAAAGAGAACAATAAAAGAGGTTATTAATGTTTGTGTGAGTGATTGTATTTACATCTTATAAGAAAAATTGGCCCATTGACAATTGTACCTCTTTTAGGGATAAATTAAAGTCTAATTGGCTTAAAAAAACAAATCCTTTTTATAATTGCCAGGTTTTTTTTATGTACATTTGATAAGGAGTTCCAGAGCTCCCATGTCAGTTAAATTGCCATAATCTTAATCTTGAGCTCCCATTATGATCCTCAGTCTGATTCTATTCAGGACTCTAGCTGCGTTGTTTCAAATTTATTTATACAACCTCCAGTGTGACAAAACATTATAGTAAAAATTTAAGATTTTGAACCCTATTTTGTCAAAGGGAGGGGGTGAATCATTTTGGGCTTACTATTTTATTGTATCTCACATAAACAGATGTGAAAATGTAAATCTCAGGAAGAATATTTTACCTTGTAGAGCCTTTGATCTTCAGGCGGCCGCTTTAAAATGCCTTCAACAATGCGCTTTAGTTCGTAGACTGTAGTAGACTCTTTCGCATCCGTAAAGATAGTCGTCTTGTGACGTCGGATCATTAAAAACACATCCTAAAAAGGAAAAATAGAGCAGAAAAGGTACAGTAGAGATTTTTATGTGAAAGATTATCTCCGTTTATCCTGCTGTGATTTAGGTTAGAGGTCAAGATTTCACCAAAATATTGAAATTTAAAAATCCAAAGAAATGGAAAGAGTTAAATTCAATTAATAAAGGAACTTCAAAAACAAACAGAAACATGCATCTATATTTCTTACTGCTAGACAAAGCTGTACATCAAATGGAGAATAAAGACAAATATTTGGAGCTTCTACTTTTGCACTTGGTTAAAAGGCTATTTTCCATGCAGCTTTAGATAGCAGAATTCAAAATCTAACAAACTTGTAATATAATAAAAAGAAATACATGGACAACAATACACTTAACATCATCATGGAAAATACAATAAATAAATTGTGAAACTCATAATCAAAGTAATACAACTGCACAACAAATAAAGCTCACACTACATAATTCTACATTGATTACAGATTGCTTATAACTCCAATCTTTATGTTTATTAAAAAAACATTGGAATGTTTATGATTTCAATGCTTCTTTTTAAACACATGACACCTTAATTTATTACCAGCTTTAAAACCAATCAGAAATAACAACCAATATATTCTACACTGACTACAGATCCAAAAAATGGCTATGCATCAAATCTTTTTCCCCAAACTTTGTTTCACAAAACTTATAATCAATACGGAACATTTTACTCCAGATTGAATTTGGGGTTGTTTGTTTTTTTATATGTGCCATTGTATGTCTTATGCCTAAAACCATTTACATTTTAATTTTTAAATTACCAATTACAGTTTTTAATGATCTCGTTTTGATATGACTGGTCAAAGTACTGTTTTTTAGGATGAGTCTTATCACAGCTGAGAAGATTACAAACTGAGTTCTAAGGAAATAGTTTTTCAAGATTATTTTAAGCCTTAAGCGGAACCTGGTGTAATGCATTCAAAGGCTAAGGGATTCAAAACTCAACAGTTGTGCTCTTTGGATTAACTGTTCGTCAGTAGTTCCTCCGATCAGAGACTGATCTCTTAAATCAAATAGCCTCAGCTCTTTTATTGGTTGTTTAACCAAGGAGCTTAGCTTAAACAGTGTTAGCCTATGCTAGTGGTTTAACAAATTACCAGTCTTTTTTTACGTCAACAGCGTCCCAAACTACCAAGTTTATGTCGTTTGACTACTCTATTATTAGGCTGTCTCGTTTAAAAGCATTATGAGCTCTTAAACATAAATAGCCATCAATGCTAGACGATCTGCTTTGCTCCCTCGTCCTAATTTAGCAAACATATTAAAAATACACATTAATAAACCAATAAACTGAATTCACATGCTTAAACAATCTGCTCCATGTCAGAACAAATTGTCCTCGAGTAAAGTTTAAACCAGAGAACTATAAACAGCTCTGTGCAGCTGGTGTGTTGACGTTACAAAGCGGAAGCTAGCCCCCGTTAGCACAGGTTAGCCAAACAAAGACGTTAGCTTTTAGCTTGAGGCTGGGTGCTAAATGTGGTTTTGTCACATATAAGCACAACGGTAGTCAGTTACAAAGGGTGTAATGACTAAAACAAGTACGGTTTGGCGATATTAAACACGGTTACACAGTCTGAAGCGAGTCTGTTTGCCTCACTCACCATTTCTTGCGGTTGCCTGCTCACAAAAAAAAAACTTCCCCACAACGATAATCGTGATGTCACAGACATGTAATACCACGGTCTACCAGTAGATGGTGGTATTACACCACTAATTAAAAGCTCTAGGTCACCTAGTCATTAGTTGCTATGCTTGCTTTAAAACCAAGACCTAAACAGTGCGGTTATAGATATTTACAAGGAGGGCAAGATGGGGCCTGTGTTTTTTTCATGGGGCAGAGAACAAGAAGGATAACTATGCTGGAGTATTAGGGCCGAGATTTTTTCTTCTATTTTGAGAATAAAGTCGTTAACATTACAAAAATAAAGTCATAAAATTATGAGAATAAAGTCATAAAATTACAAGAATAAAGTCGTAAAATTACGAGAATAAAGTCATAAATTATGATGATAAAGTCAAAAAAATGATGAGAATAAATTCGTAAAATTACAAGAATAAAGTCGTAAAATTACGAGAATAAAGTCATAAAATTACGAGAATAAAGTTGTAGAATTATGAGAATAGTCATAAAAAATAATGAGAATAAAGTTGTAAAATTACGAGAATAAAGTTGTAAAATAACGAGAGTAAAGTTGTAAAATAATGAGAATAAAGTCGTAAAATTTTGAGAATAAACTTGTTATATAAAGAGAATAAAGTCCTAAAGTTACAAGAAACAAGTTGGATTTTATGACAGCACTTTCTTCCCTAAAATGAGGAATGTCAAGCATTATGTGAAGTTATACTTTGGCTCTGGTTTGACAAATAAGAAAATCTTTTAACACACCAGCATCAAATTGGGCAGGATGTCAAAGTGGACTCAAGTTGCTGTTTGGTGGAGCTGGTCGGCCATAATCTGCTCATCAGAGGTCAAAGCTTTCTTTCTGAAACGGGTTGTTGTATGATGACTTCATTCTGGTAATATGCAACTTATTCTCGTAATTTTACGGCTTTATTCTCTTAATATTATGACTTTATTCTCGAAATAAAAAAAATAAAAATCTCTAGCCTGGCCCTAATACTTCGTCGTAGGATAAGCAATACAAAAAAAGGAAAGGAAACAAAAACAGAGCAAGAGCATACCATTTAGTGTATTAAGCCAAGGTTGCAGACTCTTGATCTAACAGCTAAAAACTGTTACCCTGCGATCTTATTATGACTGAAGCTAATAAATGTTGAAGTAAATTGTAAATGGAATATATTAAACTGGTCCAAGGGAAAAAATAAGCTACAGTCTCTTCTGTCAGCCCATGTCATCATGAGAAAGTAATGTACCCATTACACTGAAAAAAAATATTAAAAAAAAGTAAATAATTCTTTAAATAAGTGTATTTGTAATTAATTGAGCAGGTAATCATGGTGATTAAAATGAAGATAGTTACATATTTATCACTTGAAATAATTTTAAGGTTTTTTTTCTCTTATTTCAAACATACTTCCTCTCATTCTGTTAGCAATTTTTCTAACTTGGTTCCTTAAACCAAAGGAAAAAACACTAATTTCAAGAAAAAAAATGCCTTATGTATAATTCAAATTGTGTTTCGTACAGCGGCCATAAAAGGGGCCATGCATGGTTCTACAGGGGCACTAACCCCTGTATGACCCTTTCTAGAGCTGCCCATAAGCTTTAATATTTATATAATCACCATGTGTTGGACATGTCTATATTTGATTAGATTAAAAATAGCATTTCTGCAGTGACTACAATTAGTGGACAATTAGGAATTTGCATTGATGATTTTTTTAATTTTCTATTATTCCTCTAGGATTTACTGTGATTATCGTTCTCTTTTTAGAATTGTTTTTATTTCATGTATAGTAAAAGAAAGATTTTCTTGAGCAAAGCTTTCTGACTTTGTGTCTATGAAGGCCATTTACAAATATATTTAACTTTCTTTCTTATTAAATCCACCAACCCTGATTTATTCAACTGTGATTCACAGGGCATTAGGAAAATATGAAACAATATTGCTAAATATTGCAGTGCTGATATTAATTAAAATTAACTCATATTTTCTCTAGTTTCCTTTTTTATCGTTATCATTGTGCTCACTTGGTCTCTAGTCAGACATAATAAACAGTGAACAGCTTGGTTGTATACTGGCTGAATGCATAACAGGCTATCAAACATTATCATTCTTTGAAAAAGCAGTATGACACATATGCAATGACCATGTATTGTGTAGCTGTAAGAACAAACTAAGCGTATAAAAGCGATGTTTTGAAGGGAAAGAAAATTCTAAATGGATTTCCCATTTTCTTTTAAATATCAGTGTTAAAACTGCAATGTGTATATGTATTTAGGCACTGAATCTTTACTTTGAACCACGTTATGATACAAGCAGTTTCAGGTATTCCTGTGTATGTCTCCACCTGCTCTGCATCCTTTGACACCGTTTATACCCAACTTAAGGGGAGGTTTTTTATTTTAAGTCAGTTTAATTAAGGTCTGGTCTATGGTCTGACAATCAACTATTAGTTGATGTAAACTATAACATAATAATTCTGGCTGTATTTTAAGGATTTCAGTCTAGTTAGGAGGACCACTTAAGTAAAGTGTTTAAGTTTAATTCTTTCCAGATAAGGATGTACTATCATGCTAATAGCTGCAGATTTTTTTATTTTGTTTTTAAACTGCTAAATGGGTATTTCTACACATCAATATCTCTTATCTACACAGATTCTAATAACTGGATAATTTTTTTTTTTTTACGTCTAAAAGTGTCTTTCCTACCTCCCTCCTTACTGCTGACGCACATCTGCTTTTGGGTAAAGAGTCTTTACCAATTTAAAGCATTTAAATTTTGAGCATCTTTGGATGTTCTAGAGCTAGAAATAAAAATGTGACAAACTGCAACTGTCTTTTAAGATTTTTATTTCTAAAAAAGAAAAAAAAACTAAAATCAAAACCAAACAAACAAAAACAACAACAAAGAAACTTAAACCATGTCTTTTTTCCCTCCACTTCACAATTACACACAATTGTTTTGTCTCATACAAAATCCTGATACAATAAACTGAATTAAGCAACTAATTGAAAACATTTGAAAGGCACTGTCATGATGTCATAAATTGACATTGAAAACTGGAACTCTCCATTGCAAGTTTTTCAAGATATAGTACAACAAAACATTTCAATGGCAGAGATGAGAAAATCGAATGAGATAATATCTGGTGTCTCTTAAATGTAAATAATTCAATCTCAAATAAAGGACAAATAAAGGACATTTTTCTTTGACATTCGTCAAAGAAAAAAAAAAAAAAAAAACATTTCCAGAAAGCGATTTCTCATATATGACAACTGATTCAATTCAGGTAGGTAATGATTTTGGCACTCTCTGTAACATGAAGAAGTACCTGAAAAAGTCACCAAGCTGACAGTAAAAATAATACTGAAAATCTGCAAACAAATTTTCTGCATCATATTTCATCTAAATCACCCCATGCTGTCATGTCTGTGAAGGTGATTCAGAAAACAGAATCAAATCTGCTGAGTAATTTTACAAATTCTAAATGTGGATAACTAAATATCTTTACAGATATTATTCTGTCCCCATACAAACAGTGTTAATATTACATGTGTTTATCAAACAATATTAAGTACATTAAATATCGAGTCTTTACCACCCAAAATCTCTGGAGATTTTCCCAGGGTGTTTGTGATGGGGGGGCAGCTGTGGTTGGGAAATTAACCATTTAGAGCTCTGAGTCTGAGAAGTTATTTTTCAAACATTCAGTCAGCTTAGGGGCCTTTCCCTACCATATAATATTAACTAATATCAACATATTAACTACCCCCGAAAAAAAGAAGTTATTTCCAAATGTCCAAAAAACAAGACAATTTCTTGGGAGTTCTTAAAGTTTTTCATTCTCTTCTGCAGTTTCAGTTCATCAAATACAGGTTCATCCTGTTCAATCCATCATGACTGTGATGTTGCTCCGCAGGACGCCTGTTTCTCTCCCCTCAGTGGGAAATAAGACTGCTTCCTTATCTAAAAGACCTGAAAACAATAGTTAGAAAAGTTACATAAAACACAAAATAAGTTACCCACAATTAAGTTTTTATATTTTTATTTACATTTCTTATAAAACAAATAAAGACATGCATAATAATAATAAAAAATTATTTAAGAATACAGAAAACCTTCTAAACTTACCAAATGAAGATCTATCTAACGACAAAGGCGCTCTCTTGGATCTTGGAGTTAACGTACTAAAAACAAAGAAAGAAGAAAATGTATCAAATTAATCAAAAATTTATTTAGATAATGGTTTAATCACGATGAAAAGAGCATAACTTACATCTAGTCCCCTGGGGGTCTGAATTGGCTCTAGTCCCTTACAATACAGCAAAGAAAAAGGCCTCTCCTTAGTTACCAAATGCTGTTTGAAGCAAAGACTGAAAACCTTGGCAGGTAAGTAAACATCCCAATCAGCTGCATGCTCGTCTGTTAGATCGCCAACCATCCTGGTAGGGGAGTAGAAAAGGTAGGGTATTAAAATGTCTGCAGAAGAAAACTGAATTAGGGAGCTTAGAATAATACCATCAGCTGAAAACAAACAGAACTAATTTGGGAAAATCAGTACAAATTTGGTGTGTGATTCAAACATTAAACATGACAAAAACAGCTGAGTCCAAATGAGTGAAGGCCTTTATATACAGATTGTATGTCATCTATGCATCAGAGTAAAGCTGCTGTGGGTTAGTAGATCTATCATGCAACTGATAGAGCTTCCTACCCAACCAAATGTGAATACCCAAATACAGCTGTTTGAGTATTAACATATTTTAACCAAATGCTGACCACAAAAAAATGGTTACACAGAACTCTAAGCCATCTTTCCATGTAATGTAAAGCCATCTTTACGACACCACGTCATCCAACACAATGCAAAAATCTTGGACATGTATACGTTTTCCCTAAAAGATAACCCAGTTGATAGGGTTGGGCACTAACTTCTAAACTTTCAATTCTCCCAGAATCGTTCAACTTTTTTTAATTTCTGATTCCTTGTTTCAATGCCCAGTCCTCCAGCTGGAAACAGAAGCTGCCTAAAATCAGCGAGGAAGAATCCATAGGAGTGTGTATGGAATCATCTGTCTGTGCAGCGGCATTCCAAAGTGCATATTCAGGTGAAGTTTAAAAAATGACCTGCAACACGGGCAAGAGGAGTATATTATGTAAAGGAAAGTGCTCAGCCAACATAATTAAAGAACGCCTAACTGGTCTTTGACCTGCTGCACCAGTGCTGTAAGGTAGGCGGGATACCTTTTGTTTCCCAAGCTTGGCAAGAAGCAGAAGCCCTTTAATCTCAATCTGCCAGACTTATTAATAATGATAAAACTCACTAATCATACAATGAAATCTGGTAGAATGTAAAACATCACTGTTTCCACATGTAGTTGAGTGGAACTGAGGTGCAGTGAACTACACTGTCAGGATGCCTTCCTGCTGTGCTGCTTTTTCCTTCAGCTCAGGCATTCAGCCTAGCGCCACACCACACTCAGAATCAGTTAAATACAATAAAAAGTCTTATATTACATTAGTACCTGAAGCATGAGACACTGGATATCGATGTAAATGTGTTTTAATAATGTTTTTAAACATAAAGCTCGATGTACAAATGACACTCAAAAACTCTCAATATTAGGAATGGGAACTGGAATTGTTTAATTTCAAACATTGCACAACTCAAGCTGTTGATGAATACGGTAAAATGTGATTTGTCAAATCGAAGTCAAATATCTGCAAACCTATTGTGCAAGTCTCAAATCACATGTTACACTGACCTGTCAATCATCTGTGGTGTGATCGGATCCAGAGTGCCTGTCTGCTGATGATAAACCACAAGGGTGATAGTTTCCTTCAGGTGATCTTTCAGCTCCCGATTTATCTAGAAAAGTTTCAATAAACAGAATTGATGTTAGATTATTGTGAAGACCTCCATCATGTTTCGAAAAAACCATCAAAGATGAGTTTATTAGAAAAAACAAACAAACAGGTATGTCATCTGAACAGTATTTTCTTTAATCTAATTTAAAAGGTAAAACTCACTTATATTAAAAAGTAATATATTTCAGGGGCTTTTTAAAAATAATTTTAATTATTGCTGATTATACTACTGAAAACCCACGAATCTGCTTTTTTATTAGAATATTACAAAAGACCAGGAAAAAGATTTGACACTAAAATGTTATTTAACAGACATGTTGTAGCCTGCACAGTCATGGAGAAGCATTCAGTTACACAAGGAAGGTACAAAACGTCATGCACAAAGAAGGCCATTGTATGCAGAAATGTGAAAGAAAGTTGAGTGGAAGGAAAAAATAGGTGAGAAAATGCATTAGCAACGGGATTAACTGGAGCCTTTAGCGCAGGGGTCTGCAACCTGCAGCTCTAGAACCTGCATGTGTTTCTTTGGACCTTACACTATGGTTCTTAATAGTGACTAAAAATTATATAAGGAATTACCTAATGTACTATTCAAAACAAATACCCGTCTATATTTGAATTGCATTTTCACAACACAATGACATTATAGGCACCAGAAATATGTTTTTAGAGCTATTTTTTTTTCTAACTAGCTAGGAAATTATGTCTTTTATAACGATAAAATATTGCTGGGGGCGGGGTCTTGCGTATGTGATGTCACGTTTCAAAGTGCCTATAGATTAAAATCCATCCTTCATCTTTATAACCCATTTTAACGTTTCCCTAAAATATAAAGTGTTAGCTGTTTAAGGTGACAACAGATTTCCTGTGGAAGCTATTTAACAAAATAACTGGTTGTGTTTTATTAAAGTCATGTAATATTTTGCAGTTCCGAAGACAATTATTTAGCCGGACTTGGGGCAAAATGGCTCTTTGAATATGAAAGGTTGCAGACCTCTGCTTTAGACGATTGTGAAGCAAATTCCATTCAGGAGTTTGGGGGAGGTAGAATGCTGCTAGAGTTTGAGGAACAATGAAACAGAGGCAACCAGGACCAGAGAGAACTTCACAGGTGTATAACCCAGGCTCAGCAGGAGGAGGACTGGACTTTTTCTCAGTTTCCCAAAATCCTTCTTTTTAATGAAAGTACATTTTGCATTTCATTTGAACTTTAGTTTCAAAGGGTGCCTGGATATCTAATTATTATGTAAGAGTCCGGGTAGCAATTGTAAACGAACAAAGCATATTGCTTATGTTGCTAACACCACATCGAAATGAACATGCGTACAAAAAAGCCACATTTTCATGAGACAAAATGGGGTAAGAAAATGTGTCCAAATTGGATGTTTAATTTATTTTCTTCTAAAATGATAAAACATGAATTTAATGAAAAATTTGGAAGGATTGTATACAAAAGAATACCAGCCTATGACTCCTTTAAGGGGAAGAGAAGAGACATCAGACCCAGCAGAGTGGCTGATTCTTTAAAGCAAGCTGAGCTGCTAAGGCTTAAAGGAATAGTACACCCAAAACATGATTAGCCTTCATTTTCTACTCACCCCCATGCTGAACAACACCCTGGAGTACTTTTCTGATATCTCAAATGCATCTGGAGATCTGGGAGGCTTCTTGCTGTCTGCTGACATTCAAATAATGGAGGT